AATTCCTGATTCTTTAGTTCTATTTTTTAAGTTTTTTAATGAGAGAAGCAAGAGTGCTATAAACAAGAACAATTTCTTCTGAATTTTCCTCAAATTCATATGTTAAGTTTTTAATTGTTGTAAGCATTTCCCTAACATTTACTCCAGAGCAAACACTTGTAATTTTTTTAGATTTTTCATTCCAATCATTAATGACATTTAATTCTTTTTTAGGTAGAATTGAACTTTCCGGCCTACTTAATGGTGGTTTTTCGTGTGATGCTTCGTAATCATCAGCATCTAAGTTTAAGAATGGTGAACGTAGATATAATGATGACAAAGCACTCCATGACCAAGCAGGGTACTTTCTAAATACTAAAAAAAAATGTTTACATGGATATGCAGTTGATATCCAATTTAAACAAGTACATTTTGGCATTGTAATCTCATCACCAAATGATACAAAATATTTAGTAGCTGGCTTGGTAGAACTTAGTACAGCAAAAACTCCATGTTTAATTATGATTACTCCGGACAAATCAAGATTCTCAACGTTACTTTTTTTTATTAGGCAATGTTTAACAAAGCTATGAGGACGGTTGTAAAGTTAACTTGGCACCCAACGTGCATACCTTCTGTAACGTGCATCCATTTTAAAGTTGGAATCAGTATAGCTAAATGAAATAATATTCATAGTAACAAAGTTTCTTTAATAAAGTATTAGGAAAAACCCAATATTGTGTAAATGAATGTAAATGATTTGGTATGTAGTACCATAGACACGATATCTTTAAAATGCAAAATGTAATGATAAGGAAAAAAAATTTTATATTAGTTACGTAAACAATCTATACAATGAATTATTATTAAATATATATAGGGTAAAAACCTGCTGTTAACATACTTATACCTAAGTTTTCTGAACTTGTTTTTTTTTAACCAGAGAAAGTGTTTGTTGTTTTTATTTAGGTGTTTATTACTTTTTTAAATTGGTACAAACGTAACGAAACTTTAAAAAAATGATACCTGTCAAGTTTATCAATGAAGAAGTCATCAATAAGCAAAGTTAACATTCCAGTCAATGATGAGTTTTTATGTCGCTGTAAATAAGTATATTTAAAAGACTCATTCTGCCTTTCCACACCATTGTTTGTATTGCAATTGATAAGAAGACGATCCTGCCTGTACCACCAAACCCACCTCTAATTTAAAAAAAGCTTTTTTTTTATTTTGTTTTGTTCAGTTAAATATAAAAAAATTAAATAACTTTTTATTGAATCTTCCTGTATTTCAAAAATTTTATATTTTACATACTTTTTTAATTGGGAGCCAATACTTTTCTATATATTGTTTAAACTTAGTAAAGCTTTCTTGACTTCAGAATTCAGACTGTTCCAATATTCTTTGAGCATTTTCTTCCTCGTCAATTGACTTTGACCAAGCGAGTCGCCTTAAAATACATAAAATATCATCTTTTCTGTTAGAGCAACCACTTGATAGCTTTTTTAGCCAACGGTCCCAAGACTGTTCTCTGTGAAAGTCACATATAAATACCTTACATCCTAAAATATATATTAAAAATCAGTTGATTCATTGGATGTTTGTATAGTTAAATTAACTTCATGTAAAATAAATAAATACACACCAATAAAAATAGTTTCGAGAGCACGTATCTCAGCATTACAATAATCAGTCATGCAATAAAGAGGTTGCAAATCTTCATTCCAAGACTTTAAGATAACAAGTGCTTCAGATATCGATTCAAAAGTTTCACTTTCGCTTACAAAGGTTGCTACAATTTGATAATCCACATTTGTTTTGACAACCAAAAAAAACAAAGGTAAAGAATATCGTGTCGTTTTGTATGTTGCATCCAAAAACAACATCTCATTCCCATATTTTTTTAGCAGTTTTTTTTGCCAAAATGCTTGGTATACAAACAAGAGCTCAGCACTGTTACCCCGTTCTTTAGGTCGAAAATAGATATTGGCAGATGAGTCAGCTTCTTTCCATTCTTTTATTTTGATTTCTAAGCAGTCTTGGTCGATGTTCGAGTATCTAAAACGTTAAATTTTATTGTCTGCTTTATAAAATGAAATATTAAATTATAAAAATTAGTAACATAGCCTTGTTGTTGTTTTTAATTATATGATTGAGTGATTAATTGATTGAATTGGTTGATTAAAAAGATTGATTAAATTAATGAATGACTGAAGTTATCTTTAATATTTAATTAACACCTAAAACCTCTCTTAAATAGTCCTACATATTATAATATTTGCAACATCAAAATTTATTTATTTTGCATTTTTTAAACACTATTACCTTTGCTTTAGACGCTCTTTGACCATGTGCGAACGAATTATGTCAGTTCTTGGATAAAATCTTCTGTTGGTTCTAGAAGGAAGATTTTTCTTTCCAAACATTTCATTGACAGTAATATTTAAAAGTCTTCTCATCTCACGCACATTAGAAACACCATCTTTAATGTATTCAGAAATTTTAACTGATAAGCGTGGATCAATTTTTTGTGAGAGTAGCTCAATCTAAAAAACGTTAAAAAGATTTACTGTTATAAAAGCTAATTAAAACAAATATCAGAGTTTTATATTAGAGCCTCTTTTTTCATAGGTGAGTGGCCTTCACAACGATTAAAAAGTCCACATGCCTTAATTTAGGATTTAATGCCGTCACCGTTGTGTGTAGGTACTTTATGAATATGCAAAAACTATTGGTTATAGTTAAAATAAGACTATTTAAACGCAGTTAAGAAAACTCTAGCATTAATACCTTGCCAAGAGGGTGATTTTTGTGATCATTTAAGCTGTCTATCTCAACAATAATTTTTCGACTAATTACCACATCCTTTTTTTGTAGCAACGAATATTTTATTTCTTTTGACTGTTGCTTCTTACGATAATTACTGGAATTAATAAGCTGAAAAAAATATTTAAATAAGAAAACTAAACAAAGATTATTTCAAAAGTAATAGATCGACAGTAAACAGTTAAGAACTTGATAAAATATTGTGAGTGCGTAATAATTTATAAAATGATTTCCTATTTAATAGAACATTGTAATGTCAGTAGATTTGTTACCTTGAAGTCAGTGAAATATACCACTTCTTTCATAATGGCTTTTGCAGGACAATTAAACTTTTTAGTATCTTGTATGATAACATAATTAGTTATGTATAAATGATCCACTTTCTTTAAAAAAAAATAGCCAAAGTGAACATAAATTTATTTGACAACGATGCAAATTGTAAAAATAGGAGAATCTTTACCTGATTTTCTTTTGCCTCATTATGCTTCCTTTTTGCAGCAGCGTTCCGATCGAAACCATGGTGACAATTGTATCTTTTTGTAGATAATATAATATAAGGAGTAGCATAGTCTTCAGATGTTTCCCATAATACTTTATGTTGGGTTCCATGTATAACTAAGCAAGGAAATTAGGATATCATGTTTTGTGTATGATTTCAAATCATGTGATTGTGCAGAATTATTATGCACACACATTAGAACAACGATGTAGTTAAGGTGATTTATTAACTATTGATACATTATATTTCTAATTCCCACCATTTATTTTTGTTGTGTGAGTCGGCACCTCTTATTATATTTTAACAATCATTGTTCTCTTTTTTTAACATTAGTTAAAAATGTTACTACAACTAACACAAAGTGTAAAGAACATCATTTTAAAGGGATATTGATTTTCCTCAATAGCGTTAAATAACATTTTTGGAATAAATTTGTCTTTTCACAACAGATCCTTGTTCAAATCTATTCAGGTGCATTTAATTTAACTTTATTTTGATTTTAATATCACATTTAATTTAATATTAGTTAAAATATAACATTTCTATAAAGTTTCAAACAAATTTAGGAATAGAATAAACCAATAATTAAAAAAAATTCAAAAGACTGAGCTAAACTAATAATAATAAAGAATGATAATTACTTCATCTATATAACGCACTTATTTTTAATTATAATAAAATCTGAAAAAGGAAGCCTAATTTTTTCTTAGTCAATTTTTGGTCTAGGTTTTCGTAAGAAATATTTAAATATTATAAATTCATATATTTCGCGCGTATGCAGAAATTAAAATAACAGTCATTGTTTCCCCATAAATATTTTATATTACAAATAACATTAATTCTTCTTAAAATATATACAAGTATAATTTGTTTGCTTTTACAGCGTTTTAAAATAAAAGTTCCTCGTTTATTTATCTAATAACATTTAGTTACACAAAAATTACAGATTTCAATAGATACACGCTGTCAAATTAGGTAGATTTCAATAGATACAGGCTGTCAAAAATTACAGATTTCAATAGATACACGCTGTCAAATTAGGTACCAAGTCTTCATGAAAATCTTTATACTATGCAAAATAAATTGCACCAATACGGCGTATATAAGCACCAGTTTAGAGAATCAATTTTTTTTTTAATCTAGTTTAAGTTTATTTTGTCCAAGTCAAAGTAATTAGTTAAACATGTTAGGTATATTAGAAAAAACAGTAAGTTTATCAAAACAAAGGTTCCAATTACGTTAAAAAAAAAAAAAAAACCTTGTTTATTGATATTTTACTAAAATTGGATCGTTTACATTTCCAAATTGAATCCAGTAGGTCTCCTGTAAAAAGAAAAAAAAAAAGAAAAAAAGAAAAGGCTATTATTAGGCTATTAAATTGTACATCCAACTTTTAATATATAATTGGATATAAATATCCAATGTTTAATATATAATTTCGTTTATAGTTTTTTTTCTGAAGCACATGCTGATATTCTGACAACTCAATATGCAAATTAATCAGAAATTAAAGAAAAACAAAAGCAAATAAAAAATGTACAATAGGTTAAACATAAATGATTATAATTAAAAGTTTATATTATTTACAGTGATCATCTATAAGACGTGGGTGCATCTCCTGTGTATCCACCAGATTAAATAATAAGTTGAGGAATGAAAAATGCGTTTTCAAGAATATAAAAATCAAGGTTGTTAGTTAATGATTAATAAAAACTGATGAAAATTACACCAATGTGTTGTTCCCATGAATCGACGTAATGCAATTTTTTAAATATAAATACGAAATTCTAGAAGAGTGGAAGCAACTTCTTACAACCAGATGTCACACCAATAACTTGTTTTGCCAATCAGAGCAGAGTAATTGTCATAGTACAATTAAGAACATTAGCATTTAAGATTTTTTGAGTTACTTCTTACCTTAACTCAGATTAAATTTTTTTATGTGTGGTTTTATTACTACTTACTTTGTTTGTGGTGATGTTTGTTTTAATGTTCCAATCCAATGTCAATTAATGGTCAAAAAAGTAAATTCCAGTCATGTAAATTTACTAAATTAAATCCATTTATCAACAGTATTTTTGTTGAAATAAAAAAAGAAAAGAAAAATAACATGAAAAAAAAAGAATTTTCAAAATCACCATAACTACACCGAGTTCACAAAACTTTTAATATTTATAAAAGTAAATATTGTCACTTTTCCAGATAATGTAAGCTTGAGTTAAAAATATATATTATACCTGAACTTCCAAAGCTCTTTGGAGTGGAAAGGGCAGCAAACTTAACAGAATTACTGATTTCATAACTATGAAGAAATCGAGTAGCTTCCTCAACTGAATCGCAAATGCAAGGCTTGGTGTTGTCTAAAACTTTAAACTCATTGAGATATTATATTATATTAATAATCATATCAAAGAATAATAAAAAAAAAAACCTTTCAAAGTTGTAGTGTCTTCTTCTACTTTATATGTATCAGTAATGTCTTCATAATCGGACAAATCTGAACCAGAGCTAAAAAAATATATAATAATCTAGAATAATGCATAATAGCTTTTGCTATTTTACTTATTTTACAGTGATTTTGATTAATAATTAAAATTCATCAATAAACTTTGTGATGAGGAGAGCAAATAAGTAAAACTAATCATTTAAATGATGTTCAGTTTTAGAAGCTGATAAGGATACACGTGGCAGAGCTAAAGTAAAAGGCTGCAAATTCAAATCATTGTGTTACTAGTATACCGAATTCCAGGCTCTGTAAAACCAAAATCTAAACCCCATGTTGCAAATATAAGCATGGCTAATAACATACTTTTGAAAGTTGAAAATGAAATATAACTAGCAACATATATATAAAAAGATTATTTATTTTTTTATTAGTTACTAATGGTATCATTAGTTATGTAATAATGTCATTAAGACATAACAAACTACGTAGATGTTAGTCCATGACAAAACCCATTTTTTAATACACAACTTGTTGAATCATGCTATAAAAAAATTCTGGAAAATGACTGAGATAGTATTGATATTAAATGAGATCCAGTGGTCAATTACATGTTCTAAAAAAAAATGTTATCTAATTTGAGTTAAGAAAATTGTGCTTTACCAAACCAAAAAGGTTGCCATTTCTTCTTTTGTTTCTCACTGATTCAAAGAATATCTTATAGAATAGACCTATAAAACTCATACATTATCTTGTATACTTCTTTTAGGTCAAATCTGTGTCATTGTTGTTCAAGTGTCCATAAACCTAATTTAAGTATTGTCTGTATATGGAAGATGTTTTGCAACTATTATCAATTTGCTAAACCCATGATGTACTTTTTAGATTATCTTTTTAATAATCTTCGACATTAAAAGATGACAGAGTGATGCGAAATATTCCATGTGTGGATTTACTAATAAATTATCAAGTTTCAACACATTATTAGAGTGCTCGTTATATTTAACTCTGATATATTTAATACATTTAACAAACATCAAAGTTAGATACACAAGCTCTAGGAGGGTGCATTATTAACCAACTTAAGTTAAAGTTGCATTTATTTGAAAAAAATTTGTCCAACATGTTTAAGTCTTAAAAGATAATGAACATATCATAACAGACTATAATTAGGGCATGGTTGTGACAATGTCATGGGCCATGGTTACAACAAGATCTATGTTCAGGGCCAAAAACTAGTGAAAAAACTAAAATAGTCCTTGTTCTTGGTACCAAGAACAAAGCCACATATTTCAAACTTTAAATTAAAAATGTAAATAGCTCTAAAAATGTAAATAGCTCTAAAAAATGTCCTGTATCTTGTAATAGATTAAAAAAAAACCGTTCATAATTATTAAAAAAAAAAAACCTATTTATAGAATTATTTACCTTACTGACATTATTCTATTTACACAAAAATGTTAACTAAATCAAAGACAATGAAGAATTGAATGTTATGAAAACAAGGCACCGTGATATTGACACAACAACAATTATAAAATCACAATAAGATTAACGGTTTCAAAACAGATATAACAGTGGCAATTATAACAATATTGAAGTTCACTTTTGTTCCTTCACGGCTGTAAGAGTAACATGTGCTCTCGAAGCTTTTTTTAGCATATTTTATTTAATTTTGCATATGTAATTTCCGCATAATTACGTATAATTTTCAAGTGGACTTTGATCGCCTTTTGAGTGATACTTTCGTTCGATAACCAAAATTAAGTTTTTATACTTGAGCCGTAAAAAAACTGGCCTCTTAATTTTTTACGGAAAATGCAACAAATCAGGCCGTGTAATTTAAGTAGGCCATGAGGGTTGCATATAAATGTATTTTAGTCAACATATTCAATATTTCTATAAATTCCAATAATATATTTTAATTTATTATTAAATTTTGCATAACAAAAAGCCAAAAAAAATTTTTTGGATTTTTGACTAAAAACAATGGTTTGAACTACCTTAATCTATTTCGCCATTTTTTAAAATAGTTTGACTCCCGGGGTTAATTTCGAAAAAGATTAACCGGGGAGTTAAAATGTTTTAACCGGGAGTTAACTTTTTGGGGAGTTACTTTATTTCGCGTCACCGGCACTTTGATATTATTTCATATCTTCTATTAAGTAAATTTTCTTCTCTGTAATGATAATATATGAAACTTCTCACGGAGACAAAGATTAAAAACTTTTGATGCTTCATTGTAGGGCTTGCATCGTGCTATTATCTTTCATGTAATTACAGGTTTTATATTTTTAGGTTTTAGTTTCTATATTTCCCTAGAAAGTTCAGTTCATATATATATATATATATATATATATATATATATATATATATATATATATATATATATATATATATATATATATATATATATATATATATATATATATATATATATATATATATATATATATATATATATATATATATATATATGTATATATATATATATATATATATATATATATATATATATATATATATATATATATATATATATATATATATATATATATGTATATGTATATATATATATATATATATATATATATATATATATATATATATATATATATATATATATATATATATATATATAGTATATATATATATATATATATATATATATATATATATATATATATATATATATATATGTATATATATATATATATATATATATATATATATATATATATATATATATATATATATATATATATATATATATATATATATATATATATATATATATATATATATATATATATATATATATATATATATATATATATATATATATATATATATATATATATATATATATATATATATATATAATAGGTACGCAGAAATCGCGATTTACGTAACCGATTTTTATGCTAAAATATTGGTTCTCGATTTTTTAACTGTTTTTTAGGCAGCGTGAGGCAGACGTAATTTTATGGAGTTTTTTTTTTAGAAACATATACGCACATAAATACTTTTTTGAAAGAAGAAAAGTTGATCTTGATTTATATATGACATTTATGTAAGGTTACTTAACATTTTTATGAATTATTTTGCTCATAAAAATTTGGTTGATGTTCTCACATGAATTTGTAGTCGAAGAAATATTGATTCCCCTTTTTTTTATTATTCAGATAATTTTCTACTTGTATTTCCTATGCCTATGCCAAATTTCAACTAAAAATAAAGCTCTGCAGATAGTTTAATTAGTGTAGAACTTTTGGTACCTAATTTTGGTTTTTCTCCTGTTTTTTTTTGTTAAGCGAAATACGGGAGCGGATGGGGGGGGGGCAACTCTACAAAAAAATAGTAATTTTAATATTATATTATTTTGATTTTTAATATTAGATTAAAATAAAAAATTCTGCAGACAGAACTTTACTTGACTCTCTAACAGGTAGTAAGTTTAATTTTTTTATAACAATATCAATAAATATTTTAAATCAAAAAATATTCATAAATCATTTATGAATATTTTTTGGTTTAAAATTCTTTTTTATGTAACATATAAAAATAGATTAATTCCTAATCTGTTTTTATATGTTACATAAAAAAGAAGATTAATGTTTCAGTTTAAAACTTTTGCTTTTGAATGGATTGTTAACTAATAGTAACTGTTGACAATTCTATAAAGACACAACATATAAATAAGTATACAAATCAGATACTTCATTGGTTTATTCCTTCCAAAAGACTTGTTAGTATTTTTCAAATATGATAAAACTTATTATCTTATTATCATCTTTTATTATTTTTGGATTGTATACTTCTTTATCTGTGGATTATTATTTAAATCACACTACAAGAATGCCTAATGTTGACTTGTTGTTTAGATCCAGCTAGACATTATGAAGATTTTTTGAGATTCCGTTAGTATAAATCACATTTTTCATATATTACCACAACCAATATAACGTAATTAATCTATAACCAAAGTGAATAACCATTCGTAATGTTAGCTTGTTGTTTATTAATATATTTTCTTTATATTTTTACTGTTAGTTTTCCTTATGTTAATAAAGTTGTTGCATCTTCCACAGAACTATGGTAGTTACTTCCATAATTTCATAGTGTTTTGTTGTAATTATACAATTTTTTTTATTATTTCTAGTTTGATCTACCCAGCCTACCCCTGGTAAGTTTCTATAGAATAACTTAAATATCAAATATAAGCATGTATATCTTGGTTTAATTTATATTATTTTTGATCTTCACTCCTTTTATCAGTTGCTACGGTTAGTTATTTTACTTTTCAATATGTTTATGCATTTCATGGCATTTCTTCACAATATCTGTTTTTATTTCAACTTTGTTAACCTTTAGTTACATCTTCAGCTGCTACAAGTAGTAAGTTTATAAGCTATTATTTTCTAATATGTGTATGCATAATATATATGTGTAAAAGTATTGTTTCTAATATGTGTATGCCTATCTTATCGATTGCAAATAAATTGTAATTTTGTTTTTTAAAATTTTTACCTTTAGTCCCACTTTTTTTACATGTTGTATTATTATATTATTAATTGTGAACAAATTATTATATATTATTAGTTTACTTTTCAAAAAATTTAATTAAAACTATGGTATATTAAATCTTTATATATATATTTTTAAAAGATTTATGAGTCCGAAAAAAAGTAGAGTTATGTTTCCGAAAAAAGATTTAGCTGTAAACTTTACTTTGCATGGCAAAACACATACACGCTGTCAAAATGGGCATCTAATTCTTTTATTCATTAATAACGATGAGTCTATTGTTAATAATCTTAAACAAGTCAATCAGTTATTTAGCTTAAACACTGGTAAACATAAACTTTATAATGTTATTAACATTTCCAAAAATTGGCTAAAAACTATGATAGGGATTTTTCAAAATTTATTGAATTTTGTAATCAGCCCTTTGCATACCATTCACCAAACATGTCATTAAAAAAGGCAATACATCTTAATCAGACTAGTTCATTGGTTACTGTTTCAGGGTCTTCTGTTCTGTCATCCCATGAACATATGGCTGTTTTACCCCTAGTTAATGAAAAACCTTTTTTGTCTGAAATTTCTATAGAAAATAAAAAAAAGCATACATCTAGAGAAGATTTAACCCCAAAAAACTTATCACTAGTCTTAAAACTCATCACTAGGTTATCATATTTGTCTTCTCAGTTAGCTATCTCAACCAAAGACTACAATAAAGCTAAACTCATCACTAGGTTATCATATTTGTCTTCTCAGTTAGCTATATCAACCAAAGACTACAAGAAAGCTAAACTCATCACTAGGTTATCATATTTGTCTTCTCAGTTAGCTATCTCAACCAAAGACTACAAGAAAAAAGTAGCAAAAGTTAAACGGAAATACAATAGCATGCCATATAAGTTAAAAATTTTCAAGAAAAGTATAAAAAAGAAAGAAGAAATTATTAAAGCTTTAAAGACAGAAGTTAGAGAACTAAAAAAACAAATTAAAACTTATCATTATAGTAGGTTATTTTGCAATCTTAAAGCAAAAAAAGAGGCGTTGACAGTAAAAGAAAAACAAAACTTAATTCAAATAACAGTAAAACATAATATTGTTGGTAAGGCAAATAAAATGTTAATAGCTCAATTAGGAAATGATATTTTAAAGATAAAAGAGGGGAAAACTCCTAATGTTAATATGTCAGAAGACAATAAAAGTTATCCTTTAAAAATGAGAATGATAATTTATAGAATGTTATTATCCAGTGTTCCAACCGGTAATATTCGATTCCTAATTTCAAAAATTGGGCAGTATTTGGATATTAGCTTGCCGGACATTCCTTATCGTTATACTATCGTGAGCTTAGCCGTATAGCAGAACTGCAGGCAGCAGAATGAGTAATTCTTATCTTACACTTGGATTCGATGCAACAACACATAAAGGTGTTTATATCAACACTGTTCATCTGAAATCTGAAAAATAACTGTCTGGTCAATTATAAATAACTGTGGAACAGCTGTTGATTATGAAAGCCACATATGTGGTGCAGTTGATCATTTAGTTTTTATTTATTTAGATTTTCACTCGCTTTCCTTTAATGAATGTCATAGTTCAATCATAACAAATAAATCCAACACAATGTCTGACAGGATGTCGGTTAATCATCTTACGATTTCCAAAACTTGTAATACCTGGGGAAAGTATTTGAATGAACTAAACTGTCATTTGCACCATCTAGACACAATTGCCATTTTATGTCGCGAAGTTTTGAAATCTCTAGAATTGGAACCTTGCAAATTGTTTGGAAGTGATTGTATGGCAGTAAAAATTGTGTTAGCAATAAACAAGGTGAGGTTTAAAGATGGCAAAAGTGATCCACAAAGTTTTGTAAATTTTTTAGACAATAACAAACTACTGCGTGGTATTATTCCATGGTATTGTGGAAACCACCTGCACATTCTTTTCCATACCTGTTTCATTTTTATGAAACACTATACTGATTTTCTACATTATCTGACCACTAGAACAGTAAAATGTTTCAGTTTACAACCAATTCTGCTAGAAGCATTTTACTACACAACAGCTATAAACCAAATGGGAGTGCTTACGCTGTTTAGTAAACTTCTCAGTGGACCATGGATGACTAAGTTTTATGTATCAGCTAATGATGCAAGTTTTGGTCATATCACTGGTATCCAGGTAGTAAAAAATGTTTTAAAAGAAATTACTTATTGCAAATCTAATCCA